AGGACTTTAAAACATTTACTAATTCATTTAACATGGCTAAGCAAAGACAAGACAATTTTTGATTGTTACCCAGTCCAAAACAAATCAAAACTTGATATTTCAGGAAATTGTCAACCAATTTTCCTTTTAAGATGCTACGATCAAGTATATATAAAATTTGGAGCCTTTCAATATGTGTCGAAATGAAGAGTATGTAATAGTTTGTGATGGTGGTAGATATTTATATATATATATATACGGTTAAATCTTAAATAGAAGAAGTGAATGATTAGTGGATGTTACTTGTTAGATTAAATGGGTACCAAATCGTGCAATATGTAATCCTATCATAGCTTTTTTTTTTTATCTAAAATGATTACAATACTTAAATTATTTACGTTAATGTAACTCGATTTAACTGAGTAAAAATTTATTCATCAAAATAAGTAAATTCTACTTAAGATGCCGTAGGTAATATTTACTTAATAAAAATAAGGCAATTCTTTTCCTCAATTTTATTGAGTTATTTCGACTATTATTTGTTTACAGTGTAGAGGAACTCATAAGCATCTTCACCGAGCAGATTAATTTTCTTACATGCCTCTAGCATGACAGACACTGTGGCCTTCTTCCCCTGACTACACTTCCACTTGTACAACATATCAAAGATCTGACTTTGGGTGTTGAATCTATTGTTCTCTTTGCACTGGTAGATGACGGCTTTGCTCATGCCAAGTATGAGGGCCAGCATTTCCCAGTGTTCTCCGAGGTTTTGGGATAGAATTAGTAGGTCTGGATCTTTCAAAACCTTGTCTGGGTTTTTAGGTTGCTTCACATCTTCTTGTAGATTCTCTGCATTAGGCATGTCAACATCACGCACGCAAATCGAGTCGATGCTCTCTGAAAAAGAAAAAACAATTGGATGAAATAGTATTATGTGCTGAAACATATATGGAACAGGGATGAGGATCCTCCGCCGATTTCGAGAATTCAAGACGGGGGGGGGGGGGGGGGGGGGAAGAAAAAAAGAAAAATAACAATCTCTCTCTTCTTGACAATGTTGAAGAGTCCCTTAAAGCAAGATGTAACAAATATTTCTCGAATTTAGAATTTAAATGCAAGGAAATCGTGTCCTTTTACGTTAATATATTCTACAGTTTTCTACCCCCTGTAAGAGGCCACTGCCCCCGGAAGGTCGGAACCCCCTTTTAATCTTCCTCCTTTTTGGGAATTTCTCTGTCTCATCCCGGATGGAATGAATATATATATAGAAATAATATTAACAATCAATGTGAATGCTTGAAGGCAATCTATATATCATTTTTATAATAAATCCAACCAAGTAATCAGCTTAAAACATCTTTATTACCCTTTAACTGATAATCTTAAGGAAGAAAGAAGACACGAGGTTGAGATTGTTTCTGTTCTTATTGTGTTTTTTAAAATTAAAATTATGTCATAATGAAGGTTAGACCGATGTCTTTCTAATGTGCGCCAAATAAAGGTTTCCTTCCCAGAGCTAGAAAGTACTTACTTATGGAAAATAAACTTAATCTCCTTTTTTGAACAATTTAAATTTGCTTGAAGTATTTTTCAAACACTTTCAGGAATTTGAAGAAATGAAAATACATGTATAAAACTTATTCAAATAAGAATAAGAAGAATAAATTGATAGCATACAAACCTTTATTATCTGTCAAGAATATAGTGCAGCTTAAAAAATTGGTAGGCTATAACATTATAGGGATTTCATCTGTAGCAAACAGTTTTTAAAATTTGTATAAACATTTGCTGTCTCAAACTTTCCTGATCATTCTTACCAAAAAATTTACAAATTTGGCTTAGGAACCAAGTAAAAACTATTCTACTAATCTAATCTGACATGTTGAAATATATAGACTCTATATGAACTTCAAATATATATATTTTCTAACCAAGAACACTTTTATTTTAATCATTACGTAAAGCATAGCATGAAAACATTACCTACTTTTTTTTTTTAGTTTAGATAAATATTTCTCTGGCTTTACAGGCTGTGGTGCCTAAATATAATTTTTCTAACAGTGTCCTTTCATTCAACAGATTTTAACAACTTATTTATTAAGAGCGATTGTTGTTTGTCACTTCTCATTCAAAGTTGAATATTTGTGCCTGTGTAGTTAAGCTAAAAATGAGAAGAAATCCAAGGGGGAGAGAGTGACAGGAAGATAGACATTCAGAAAAAGAAAATTACCTTGAATGGGCTGCTTTTCTTTCTCTAATTCCTCTTGAAGTCGAGCGTATACCCACTTTTCATTTTTCTTCATTATCTCATAAAGATGCATGGATCCTTCTGTTTTTGTAAGGCTGCTCTGGAGAGAGAAATAAGCTCCATCCCCTCTCCTCGGCAAGATGTCCAAGAGGGCAGCTACTTTATCTCTTCTTGCTCCCTTGGTGTCGATTCTTTCACAATCATCGCTAGTTATGGCTTGATCACCCAACAGGTATGGTACAATATCATCATATTTAAGGTCTTTTAAAAAGTCGGGGGCAACCTTTTCCAGAACCTTGCGGTGAGGTTCGGTCATCGACATTGTGCTCTAGTATCTGCAATGACGATGATAGAAAATATTTAAGATTAGCAATTTTTTTCTCAGTATGGCCGCATTTCTATCACTTTTGAATCAGAGTATCATCAGGATCTATATTTAAATGGTTAAGGGAATCATACGTACTAGCTTGTCTAAGAGATAACATTGATATTTAAACTGGACCGGGACGACTTTCTACAATGTGTAAGTGCACATTGAAAGCTCTGGGAGTTTCACAGGAGCAATATCGCCGTACTGGCTGCTACGACTACAAAAAACTCACAAAAAAGCCTGAAAATTCTACCAACTGAAACTGTCTACAACTCTACATACATGTACATGATCAAGATGATAGAGATCTGATCATGGATGATGGAGGAATATGATGGATTGTCCTCTTTTATAAGCTCTTTTGACAAGATATGTGCTTGTTATTCTGGCAAATATACTCCTGCAATTGAGACGTCAATTTGATGATACTAGTAATACTAAGATCTAATAATTATAACAACAACAATATTAAACAAAAATACTAATGATATTATTAAACATATCAATATCATTATTGTTATTATTGTCGTTATTAGATTTACTAGCATCTTTATCAAGATTCACCATCACTCATTAATTATAATTTATTAATTATCATCATTCACCATCATCAATTCAATACTATAAATAATAGATCGATTCTAAGTCGAACACACATCAATAACAATAACAATATTCAATAATTAATATCTATAATCACATTTGATAATTATCTAGTCAAAATTGGCTGGTTTCTAATGAAAAAAAAAAACAAGTAACGACAATGCATCATCAAGATATGGGAAGACTAGACTCAATTCACCGTCGGATGTTTCTACAAAATGCTGACAACACTGAAATGGGACAACGTAGAGAGAAGACGCCTAATCCAAAGGCTAACTACACTCCACAAGATGATTAATGTAGAACTAGATATCACACTAGAAGATTATCTCCAGAGACAGACACATGACAAACAGTTGATCACCTTTGAGTGCTCATCAACACCATTTGCAGAATCCTTCTTCCCTGAAGTTGTAAAACTATGGAATGACCTACCTCAACTAAACGTGGACATCAAATCCAGCACAGTCTTCAAATCGGCAACCCAAAAACTAAACCAAATAGCATAACCCCTGAAATACATAAATCTATATTCTCGTCATGCCAAGTTATACTTCCAGTTATAGTTCCTAGCGGACCTTTCGGAAGAGACGAACACAAGGTACAAGGTACAAGGTACAAGGTACAAGGTACAAGGTACAAGGTACAAAGTACAAGGTACAAGGATACTGTTATTGTTAGTATGAAATTAAAACAAACACATATTTTAACTAATGGGACCAGCACACAAAATGTCTTCCTGGTAGGAAAAACTTAGACTTAGAAGGAAAAACTTAGACATTTAGATATCTTAGCAGTTCAGTAGCACTGGCTCCAGGATCATGCCACTCATCAGCTGGATAAGATCAGTGACCAACATCATGTTTACTTCAAACCAGCAGAGAGACCATCCAGCTCACTTCATTTGCACACATCAAGAGGTAAAGGAGGAGTGGCTGTTTTTCTTCGGAAGTCGCTAGTATCTGTCTGCAAGGAAATATGCTGCCCAGGATCAAGAATCATTGCTGTGCGCTTTAGGCTAAGATGGTCTATGGAAGCTTTTGCCTTCTTCGGTTGCTATTTCCCTTGTGGTGTTACAACGGCAGACCAGACTGACTATCACTCATGCCTGGCATCCATATCCCAGATACTCTCCAACATACATGGAACCTCACCCATATAGCTGGAGACTTTAATCTCGACACTGTTCATCTAAAAGCCAAGAGAACCCTCCGTATTCTTCAAGAATTTATGCATCTAGAACAATCAGTCTCACAGCAGAATGTTTAATCAGGATCAGTACACTTTTCGATCGGATGACGGTCGTCACAAGTCAAGCATAGATGTTTTTCTTGTTCCTTCTAAGGAGCTGGAGCTCGACAGTTTGGTATCTGTTGACAGTGATGATCCTCTCAACATGTCAGATTACTTAGTAGTGACAGCAAGAAGATCCTCTAGAATCCCATCCAGCAACCCGGTTGCCTCAAGACCTTTTCAAGTTTCAAATCTTAGACGGGTGAAGGTGAAGTGGCATGCTGTCAATAGAGATGCAATCCATGAGTGTTACACATCCCCACTTGAAGTTTTTGTCAAGTCTCTCTTTCTGAGTGTTGCGAGCATTTCAGCCATCAATGCAGGAGAGGCAGAGGAGCTATTGTGTAAGCTGTGTGATGAGCTGCTTAAAAGGTCCTTTGATCTACCTCACACCTATCCCACGGGGAACAGGAAGGGAAAGCCGGAGTGGAACGAGAATGTTGCAAGATTCGTCGGCGTTTACATGAACCGTCGAATCCGTCGATTTTTGGCAAATTTTTCAAAATATTTTTTTTCCATAATTGCGTTGACTGTTATGATATCTTTCTACTGACAAATTTTCAGATGCTGATTTGAGATAATTTTTGACAAAAACATGTTTATATTTTTACCTAAAACGAAACGTTGCGCGGAGCGATTGCATGAACCGTCGAATGCGGATTCGTCGGTTCATGAAACCAACCCTCCTTAAATTCTAGCAGACGATGAACCGTCGAATCTGTAGCATCGTCTGAACGGGATGTAAAAATTGGTAAGCAAACTGTGTTTCGTGTACCTAGTTGTACTTTTATGAGATTAGATGCATGAATTTAATGAAAATCTGAAGTCGCTGCTTAAATTATACCAATTTATAACACATTTAAGCAGATATTTCGAACTCAAAACTCGGATTGTCCCACCTGTTGATTTAGATGTTAGTAAAACTAGAGATTTCGATAAAATCAATTTCAAAGGACAATATACTATAGGTCGAGGTCAAGACGGACGATTGTTCGTACTATGAACCTCAAATTAAACTCTAATGTGTTATTTCCCTTGTTTTTTTAAATATGGATAGACTTTTGAGTATTACTGTTGAAATTATTAAGTGTCGACGGCGGTTAAGTCTGGACTGTACAGTAAATGTAGTGTGGTGCATGCATGGTGTTGCTCATGGTTGCAGATTGTCACTCACTACTATTCATTTTATTTTAAACTCGAGAGTTTAGACTAAGTTAAGTAAGAGTTTAGCCACCTTGACACTTCCACAAATTTTTGTTCCCCCATATACGCCATAGACTCTACTTAAATATTGTTCACGCCATTAATATTCACGCAGTGTTATAAGACCCTCTTTGCCGTCACTTTTTCTTTCCTGTTTTCCTCAGTTTTTTTGTGCCGTTGAATGCACATGGGTAAACAATGCGCAAGTAATGTGAAAACTGCGGGAAGTATTCGCAGCCGATGCACAAATTATGAGCAATTTATTCGTAAATCCATCGTGAATTATGTATGGTCAGTATGGACACAGGTAGAATATGTATAGGATACTCATAGTCATAGTTCCTGAAGTGTTCACGAAAGTCGTCCACCAAATTTGTCGTGCCAAAATTTTAAACATTTTGAAAATTCTGCCACAAATTTCAAGCTTTGTCCCGCATGGGCCTCATCCTCCAGCCTGTTCCGCAAACGCTTCCCGTTATGGCAGAAACATGGCATGAAACGATGGGCAAACCATGCACAAACCAATATCGTGCAAGTGTCAGGGTGCTCTTAGACTATGAGTTTAACTTTGAAATTAGTGACTAGATTTTGTCTAGATTTAGATCTCTACTTTTTGTGTTAGTTAACTTAGTATGCAAATAATTGTGGTACCATTCATTGTTTCAATCCCTTGCCTTTTGTTTTGTTTTGATATTATTGTAATAGAAAGATGAGTATGGGTACTACTTGTCGATGTTTATTACTTGAGTACACAATTTCTGTGCGGGAACGCTAATAACTAATAGGGGCCTGGTTAGTTATGGCTCTGTCCTGATGATACTGACACACACTACAACAGCCTTAATTGGTTCTGTGATTTGTGTAGATCTACTCACCTTTTCTCTCAATACATTCGCAAATTGAAGATTCTTTTTAAATCAATAAAATTTGAATTTGAATTATGAAATATCCAGCCCCACCCTCCACCCCCATGCCGCCTACGACTATATGATGACGACTCGGACAGTCAGGTATGGACATTTATATATATATTTTTTTTTTTTGGGGGGGGGGGGGGCTGAGGTGGTTTCCTTGTAAAATGTATCGTCTTAATTTTCACCAAAATAAATGTTCATAAAGTTTGACTCTAAGTTGAGGGGGGGGGGGGGAGGGGGAGCAAGATTTCCCATAAAGGGGGCAAATTATGATAGGATTATGGGTGTGTTATGTTTTCCTTTCTCTTGTCCCCACTGGAGCGGGGGAAATATATTAGCTAGATTGAAATATATTATATATATATATATATATATATATATATTAGAAAGATGAAAAGAAAAGACATGATACAGGGGACGCCACCGTTCCCATAATGCCTTATGGTCACAAAATCGAATCTTATTTGGCTTAAAATCTTGAAAATCCTTACTCGTATTGTATATTTACGAAAAGCTTGAATATAGTTTATAAATTAAGTCCCTATAACCCCCTCTCTGTCACTTCCTTCCTTTGCTGAGGATTAGGGACATGTTAGATCAACCCCTTGATGGCAACGGTGCTACACCCCCACCCCCCCCCCCATGAAACACACACAGGCTACGCCATCTATGAACTACTTGGACGAGAATTGTTGATAATATACACTTGTACCAAGGAAATACTTCAGGGTGGGTGGGTCGAATCGTGCAGCTTGGTCGGACTGATGGGGGGGGGGGAAGGGGGCTAGGGCCCGGGATGATGGGTCACATATCTTATTGGGGCATGCCTTTTTTTATATTTTTTAAAAGTATGTTTTCAATGAATGTTTTCTACAAATATTCGGGCCATGTGGCGTCCCCCCCCCCTGCACCCACCCCTAAGCCGTGGGGTGTCCCCTATCCATTTTGCTTTCTTATTATCATTTTGTTTATTGCTTATATGACTTTCATTTTTGTATGAATAGGGACCCTCTTCTCCTATTATGAAAAGCGACTCTCTTCTTGTGTATTATGAATAGCGGCCCTCAGGCTTTTCTAGTATTATGTATAGGAACCCTTTTCTCAAATTATGAAAAGCAGCCTTATGAATAGCGGTCCTTATGAAAAGCGGACCTTATGAATAGCGGACCTTATGAATAGTGGTCCTGAACAGCGGACCTTATGAATAGCGGTCCTTGTGAATAGCGACGTTGAACTGATTTTTCGGTCTAGGTTGGTGATTATTAAGAATGTAAGACTATACTTCAGTTTAGTTCAGGATTGGGTAGCATGGTTTGGGTTAGACAGAAATAACCATCTGGTATGGGTCATTCTTTAATAAAACAGACTTTTGCCAACATTTCCCATGTAGACGGTACTTTACGGCTCGCACAACAGGCGTAGATTGATCGATTGCTACCGATTTTGTACCACTTCCAGAAGTTCTGGTAAAAAAACTTTCTCACATTTTTCTTGATTTAGATCTAATTGAAATAAAAAATCAGACAGAAGAAAAGATACATATTTCTTTTTTATGTAAAGTTTTTAAAATTTTAATTACGTATTTCCAAAGGCGAAATTTACTGAATTCCTCTATACGAGTTATCCAATTTTTATCTCAGAACCAGTGAAACGGTATGTTTATGAATTCAAACTGTAATCTATGACAAGACCCGGCCAGGTCAACTACGCAAATAATAATAAAAATTGAAACTTTTCATTTGTTTTCCAGCAATAGATAGTTGGAAGTTTCTCGCAGAAATCCTGGCATGACCTTTGGCTTTATTCTCGTGAAGAGTGCTGTGTGATCTGGTAAGTAATTCAGTTTGACCTTTTTTCTTCTTTATGTCTTGTTTATGTCTTGTTTGTTCAACAAAAGAATAATTGTGATAAGGTAAGTACATGTATGACTGCACATTATTGTCACATACCGCCATACAATTTGGAAATTGACTAGATAGGTTCTGGCACATGTGCTGTTTTTAACATTCAAATATAGGACAGCTCCCCCTCCCACCCCCCCCCCCCCCCCCCACTGTGTCAATATCTTGAAAATTACAGTGTGGTAGAATGTGCAGTTAGAATATGTTAATCGACATGACATGATGACATGATAACAGTGTGATTATTTTCTTTTTTAAGTGACAAATGCTAGTATAACGTTCATTTGTACACCTTATTGTCTTGAATATTATCTTATTTGATAATGAATCTCAATCGAGTTTAACATACTGGTACTTGTACAGTATATCAGATGCCATCTGTTGAACGATTTGTCACATAAATTGATTTGCTGCAGTAGTCAATTGTATTAATTCATATATTTCATGTTTTCTAAATTCATCCCAGAATACATGGTTGCACTATGCAGTGAAAGGCATTCAGCAGTTGGGATTATGGTAGATTGACTGCAAAATGTGAGGAAGCAATCTATTGAATACTGAAAACCCAAAGTGACTACTACTTCTCCAGCAGCAAGGGCTATATAATCTAAAGATTTCACAGTTGGTGAGTGACAGCATTTATAAAATAACTTCAGTTTTTGGCCTGAATGTGACATTCAAGATTATTCTATTCATCTTCTTTTCACAAAATTGAATAATCCCTAACAGGTACAGCTATAGCCCACAAGCTAGACACTTGGTATCCTACACGTAAAAAAGGCCCCCAAACTAGACCATAAGTTAAAAAGGACCATGAGCTAGACTCAATATCTGTATTACGCAGTGTCAAGCTTGTAGGTCTATTTCACCTAGTGTCTAGCTAGTGAGCTGTAAGTGTTGTGTGCCGTTTACATCATAGATTGTTGATCGTGTGGGCCACATGGATCGTGGGTGTCTAGCTCGTGGGAACACCTTCTCCCTCTCTGAAGGTTGTTGCAATTCATCTGATCATTGTACAGATCTGAGCATGTTCTCTTCTATCTTATTCCCATTTCCTTTTCTAGAAAGAGGTTGCCATTCTTGTTTTGTGTTTTTTTCCTTTTTATCATTGTGATCAATGCCTTCTTTCTTTTTATAAGAAGGTACTGTACATGTACAAGTCAACTGTCAAGTGTTTTTTTTTTAAACGTACTTGATAGCAGAGTGATTTACAGAGTCATTATTTAATTGTCATGATTCTCTGAAGATTTTTTTGTCTTGTCTGCATAGCTAGAGTGAGACATAGGTACCGCTTTTTCCTACCGTGGCATCAACAATTTAAAATCACTCTCATTTCAAAAGGTTATGTCCAAATTTGATGAAAATTGCACATAGCAATAGGCCATTTTCGTAATGTAACCAAATTTAATGCATAAGTCTTTGTGAAGTGCCTCAGTACAAGTTATTTCATTCACCTTATAAGAATAATAGTATTTCAATAGTCAGAAGGCAAACTGCATATATTTAGTGTTGCTAGGTAGGTCAAGCCATAATGTTTGTCCAACCTGGCAACAACTAATGTATGCAGTTCGGATTCTGTCTATTGAAATACTATTATTCTTTTCAGGTGAATGAAATAACATGTATTGAGGCACTTCACAATGACTTATGCATTAAATTTGGTTACATTACGAAAATGGCCTATTATCAAGCATCACTTTATTATGTGGAAGAAATTTTATGAACAGAGTCAAGGTCAAAAGTAAGTTATGTTTAATATTACTTCAGAAACTTTTAAGTAAGCAATTTGATGAAACCTGCAATGATCATTATTAAGGATCATACATGTAGATTATGTGGAAGAATTTTCATATCCAAGGTCGTGGTCAAAGGTGAATTATGGTCACTTGTGTTATATTTTGCTTCAAAAATAACCTTTTGTTAAATTCTCATTTCAAAAGTATATGTCCAAATTTCATTAAACCTGCACCCAACAATTATGAGGAAGAATTTCATCACCAAGATCAAAAATCAATTATGTTTTAGTGAATGAATAGTGTTGCCATCCAGTGGTTGGTCATTTAACCTGTTTTTAGTCAATTTGGCCGAATGCTACCAAATTTCTCATGAGATATCAATCGGTAGTGCTCATACTTAATAGGCAAATTGCGAGGTACAGGCAAGACATCACATGCAGTTTGACTTTTTTTTATTATTTTTTTTTATTTATGCCTATATCTTTTGATTTTATTTTCAGGTGGAGATGTCCTGAACTTGCTTTGTGCTGCAATCTCTTGTACATGTACCACCAGATTCCAGGAATGTGATAACTCAACTTTACTTTCATCATAGAGGTGTTGTGTCTAGTGAATAAGTCATCCGACTGCAGATCACAAGGTACAGGGTTCAAGTCCTGCTGCAGCACTAATGTCCTTTGGCGAGACGTTAATCTACATTTGTCACTCTCCACCCAGGTGTTAAATGGGTACCCGGTAGGATGCAAAAGTTAATGTAGTTGGATGAGCAAGTGTGCGTTTGTAAAATGGGGACTGGGCGGAATGCTCCCCAGGGAGTGAAGAACATGCTTGTGTGCGGGCAAGCCTAAATCTGATGACTGGGTAATGATATATATATATATCTGTAAAGCGCTTAGACACATCGTTGTATTGATGTATCATGCGCTATATAAAAGCAGAATATTATTATTATTACACCTGTAAGAACATCAAGATTTCAAGGTTAAGAATTTCATAATTATAAAAAGCAAGGTGATGAATGAGAAATATAAATGATTCAGCCTAATTTAATTGTCAATAAATTGATGCAAATGAATGTAAAACCTTTCATGATTCTATGGTTACACTGATGGAGCATGCTTGCATGTTGTAATTATGAATCATATTAAAGTTATTTTGATTATCTTTTGCCAATTGCCCACTTTTGTAAAATAGAATATTTCAAGCTATCACATCTGGTTAAAGCTACAATAGCTGACAGTTGGGAAAGCATGTTCAATTTGTTTTGGTGTCAATGGGTGCCGGCTTAATGTGCATATGTATAGTGTTGGGTTCATGATCATACATCATGTTGAGCTCTTACTGTGTCGAACATTACCTCTTTAAGTGGTTATTTTAGGTGTTGAAGATCAGTACAAGTTCAAGGCAAAGTTACCATAAGCGCATTACAAATTTAGTACATTGACAAGGGGCATTTAATAACAATTAATGAACTGGCAGCATTGTATTAGAGAGTTTTTTGAAATTGTGACACTGTGTCTAAAACTTTTGATGAAGGAATAACCCACTGTAAATACAAATAATTTCAAAAACATATCTTCACTGAAAATATATGTGAGAATATAGTGTTACATGGTTTTGTGAAAACCATTGTTCTTGTGCATTACCTATATGACAATGTGAGGTATAGTATACCAGGTCAGCAGCTGATTGTGAAATCATGAACATTGTTACCAGTTCACTTTAATGCAGATCTTTATTTGACCTTTACTCAAATCGTTTCGGAACTCATGATAATATTATGTAGCTTGTGCTGAATTCATGATATAGCCCAAGAAAATAAGTACACTGAATGGCACATGATTTGAATTGATTTTTTTTTATTCATCAAATATGTGTAACACTCGAAAATTGTCCTGTTATTTCACCTAAATATATAGGATTATGATGTGTTTTAGATTAGGTCACACTACAATCGTCAGTGGTATCAATGCCACAGTTGTCATTACTCAAAGAGTTCTAATTTGTGATAATTGATTATTAAATAATTGTCAAGTGTGTTTAAGATCGATGTCAAATAAATTTTGGATGTGAAAATATAATTTTGTCGTGTTTAGTTATTATTTGATAACATATACAATGTTCCAACATAATTGTAGTAATCTGCCTGTCATACTTAAGGAAAAGGGGTTACAAACTTCGGTTCAGGATTATTTCCTATACTAGAAGTAGATGCTTTATGTCAAGCATGATATCAATAATGTGTTTAGCTTATGGTTACATTTTCGTTCATATAAATCAAGGTCTTCGAAGAGAGATGGTTGGAAATGAAATTATGTGATCATGAAAATACCCAAATTACGAGGGTGTGTGAGCGAAAATATATGGAGACTGAAATTGATTCAGAAAAGTGAAAGAGAAAGAAAAATAGAAAGAGGATAAAGAAAATAATTAAGTGGTATGATCGAGAGGCCAAGCAGTATGCAATGATTCAATGAGTGGTTGAATTCAACTCCATGTAAAGATGAATTATATAGAAAACGATTGGAGAAACAAGATGTGATGGAGGGGGGTAGGATGGCTAATTAGACAAATCGAAACAGAAACAATATTATAAGGAACAAAATTTGAAGGGAGATCAATATTTAGGAAATGTTTATGAAGTCCTGATATTTCCTGAATTATTCATTTATCAATTAAAAGTCTCATTAAGAAAAATGAAAGTGGTAGGCCTAACCCAGATTATTCGATAGGTAAGCTCGAACAGTTCAACATTAAAAGTTCGATGACCCGCATTGGGCGCGTGTATTAAACGAGCAAGAACGGTTGCATGAACCGACGAATCCATGCGCATTCAGCGCTTTTGTGCTGCGCGTATTCACTTTCTGTTTTTATGAACCGTCGAATGCGCTCCGTTTGCCACTTTCTGTGGAAAAGCGTAGTGCGAAATTACATCATCATTTTTATTTTATCATTACTCGACGATTGTTCAAAATTATGATTTGTTTTTTATATGGTGATTGTAAGCTGGTTTCAGGCTTTCACACTGACTAAAAATTATCAAAATCAATTATCGTACATTGCGCTATAGCGATGTTGGAAAATGTCGAACTTTCAAACGCGTTTTTCTCGAAAGTAAGATTTTGAATTCAGTGGACGGATTCGACGGTTCATGTAAACGCCGCATTATATGAAGCGTCAAGGCAAGCCAGGAAGAGTTGGAAACATTCCGGAGAGGAAAAGGGTGGGCTTGGCCATTCAAATCATATCCAGTGTAAGAGAAACTTCAGGAAGAGTCTCCGACAGTCAAGAGCGCAACAGAGTCAGGAACTGATACGTGACATTGAGTGTGCATCTGCAGAAAATCAGAGGCTTTTCTTTCAGCTTATCAAGAAAAATCGTGGTACTGACAATGTGCAGGTTGTGACTGAATCACTTTGTTATAAAGATCAGACTTATGAGGGTGATTCCATTCTTGTGGCCTGGGAGATGTACTTTTCGGCCCTGTCAAACGCCAAGTCGTGCTCCTCTTACACCTTCCCTACCACCCTGCCTGCCACCGAAACCGAAACCTGTAAACTAGGAGGCTGTTCAGACTTTGTTTGTTACGACTCTGGCTGGACATTGACGTCTGCTGATCTTGATGATGCCATCAACTGTCTCAAGAAAGGGAAAGCTGGTGGTACAGATGACATCTCTACGGAGCATATTCAACACCTTGGAGTTACTGCCCGTCGTCTCATCCTCATAGTCTTCAATGTTTTCCTGCGAAATTCCCACTGCCCTCAATTATTGTTAAAAAGGGCCTCATCATTCCGCTACACAAGGGGAAGGGGAAAGATGTTCAAAGATCCAAAGAACTACAGAGGCATTACTTTGTCTTGAACACTTTGTAAGCTGTGTGAGATATGTCTGAAGCCCCAGTTTGTGCATCAATTGAACACCAGTGGTATTCCTGATGAGCTTCAGATGGGCTTCCAGAAAGGACACTCATGTATGCTAACATCTTTGTGTCTAGAACTTATCGTTGAGATTAATGCATTCCACAAGCATCCTACCTACATGGCATTTCTTGATGCGGAAAAGGCGTTTGACACTGTTTGGCATGAGGGGTTGATAAACAAGTTAAGAACATCCGGATTGGAGCCAAGAATTCTGGGCATATGATTCAGTCCCTCTATAATGGTCTTGAGAGAAGGGTTTTCTGGGATGGCAAGGTTAGCGGCCCTATACCCATTACGCAAGGAGTCAGGCAAGGAGTTCTATCCCCAACTCTATACACTGTGTTTGTCGACGGGCTCATCAAGGAATACATGAGAAATTAGGGCTGGGATGTGTCATCAATGGACGTTATTCAGGAGTCATTGTTCTGGCTGGCGATGTGGCTCTTGTTAGTAACTCTGCCAGTGACCTACAGGAGATGTTGGAAATCACGTTTGGATTTGCAAGACAATGGCGCTATGAGATCAACCCTCCAAAAGTGCTGTGGTAATTGGCAATGGTGGTAAAGGTACACTCCAAACTTCATGGACTGTTGGTGATGCCATTATTGAGGGGAAAGTTTGTCACCCGCATCTTGGAATCCAGAAGTTGAGTGTTCGCAGGGATCCAACTGATGAGATAATTGGGAAGGGTCTACATACTTTCCATGCCCTATCGGGAGCTGGTGCTTACTCCGGTGGTCTTATTCCCATTTTGTCAGCTCGTTTGTGGAAGACCTTTTGCATTCCCAGAATGCTATATGGCTCATCAATCTTTAACTTTACCAATGGTAACTAAACTGGACCGAGCACAATCTCATCTGTTCAAGAAGATCCTGGGTATACCCTAACTGCTGCAGATGAAATAGTCTACCTCCTCACGGACCTCATCCCGATGTCTCATCAAATTGACCTTGATAAGCTCCTCCTTCTTGGTCAGGTCCTCAATCTTGACAGTGGAAGGTTTGAATCACGGACTTATCTAGCAGCTATCGCGGTGAATGCTCCTTCCATCCAAGCACTCCGATGTATACTGCAGAGATGATCTTCCTGATCTTGAGAGTCTGATGTCCAATCCATTTTCATATCTCAAATGGAAGCGGTTGATTAAGTTCAAGATTAAAGACGCTGTACATGCCAAGACTGCTGTCGGTGTACTCTCCGAGTCGTCCCTTAATTATTGGTCAGGCAAGATACCTCTGGGTCCGCATCTACTCTATCCACAACATTCTCCGTCTTACATCATACGGCAAGCTCTTTCGCTCTTGCGCTCGGGAAGATAGTAGCCCCCAGATCAACTCGGCGATGATAGTTTGCACCATTACCCTCGTAGTCGATTAATATTTGCTTACTAGCTCGCTCGATAAAAATGTCCTCTAGTTCGCTTTTAGCTCTCATATGCAAAAGTCGGGATTCCCGGAAATAATTTCGTCATCGTCCGTTGAAAAATAAAAGCTAGGATTTAAGTGATTTTGGATAATCAAAGTAAGGACCATTACGAATAAAAAGACTTCATATGTTCAGGATTTCAAAAATATATGTGCTGTTTAATTGTTAAACAAAAGGTTGTGAAAAGAGGGGAAACTCATGGGCGGTTCCCTCGATCTTCTTAAAAATGGGAGCTGTATATACAGGCGCGTACGCAGGATTTTTCAAGGGGGGGGGGGGGTTTTAACATTTATAAATCGGTCCAAAAATTTCGCAACGACTCAGCCAGCCGCTGAATAAGCGGGGGGGGGGGGGGGGGGGGGGGGGGGGGGGGGGGGGGTAAGAGGACACTTTTTTTTTTTCTTTTGGTCTCGAAATTTGGAAATTTGACATTTTGCTCCGTTGGGGGGGGTAAGGTCACCTTTTTTAGGTCGGCCATGGGAATAATTTTTTTTTTTTTTTTTTTTTTTAATAATTTAAAAAAAAAAAAAAAAAAAAAAAAAAAAAATCCAAAAGGGGGGGGTTTTAGGTTTTTTTTAGGGGGGTTTACACACAAAAAATTTCCAAAGGGGGGGGGGGGGGGGGGGGGTTTAACCCCCCAAACCCCCCCCCCCCCCTGCGTACGCGCCTGTGTATATATATATATATATATATATATGTATTCAAGATTCAAGATTCAAGATTATTTTATTGGTCCATGCATGCAAACATTACATAGAAATTTTGCTTCCAATGGCTTTTTTGACAGTGAAAATACAAATGATAGAAAATACAACATAACATTTAACAATAGAAAACTATGTACATAAATATGGATAACTGTTTATAGTGTGCATATGCCCTCAATTTCCTATTGCCTACATTTAGCATGCGTCATAAAATTAAAATGTCTAATAATATAATATAGTATTTCTCGTCACCACCCCCCCCCCCCCATCCGCTAGCTCCCGATCCACAGATGGTTTGGATTTGCAGAAAAATAACAGTAATAAATACATTTACATTCAGATTTCATAATTATAAACACGTGATATAATTACGCAACACTTCTACAGTAAAATGAACTCTTAACGATTGAAAAAGTTAAGTTAACAATTTACCGGCACAGTCGTATGAATAAGTAACATGCGTCATAAATTAAAATGTTTCATAATATGATATTTCATTTCCCGTCACTCCCCCCCACCCCACCCCCCCCCCCCCCCCCCCCCCCCCCCCCCCCCCCCCCCCCATCCGCTAGCTCCCGATCCACAGTCTCCAGCTATCCGTTTAATTGCACTTCAATATCAGCTATATTGAAGTGCAATCAAACGGACAGCTTTCAAAATCAACAATAGCAATTTCAAATCCAGTAGGAAATATACGATTATAAGGATAGGTAGGTAGCCTTATGTATACATTTATCGCGTCACAGTTGAATTATACACATGTATGGAATGAGGGATGAATGAATTACGAGAGCGTGAAAGGCGAGTACGGGGAGGGCACAGTTTTATTCCAGAACGGTTGAACCTGAAACAATCATTGAGAAGATGAGTATTGTCTGTCATTATAACTTTAACTTTTGCAAGTAAGCGTTTTTCATAAAGTGTTGGAACAGGGGGCAGATCTGATCCTATAACCCTCTGTGCGACTCTTCGAGTTCGGTCTACTCTTCCTTTTGCTCGTTTGACATGTTACCAAAAGTGCAGATC